GTTACTTGGAAATTGGAGACTGATATGCAAGCATGATATCCATATCTTTTCGACCTTGCAGGTTAGTAACAAGTTTCGGGGACGAAACTTATTTTAACAAGGGTGGATTGTGAGATCCCGTGTGATATATAAATATAAATGATATTAACTTTCTATTATTTTTAAAATAATTAAAATGATGAGAGAAACTTTGAATCGTTGTTAAAAGAATAGTCATGTAAGTTTGAAGTACGAACGTATTGACTTTTGGGTCAAGTTTAATTTTTGAAGGTGTTTAAGGTTGATAAGAGTAACTAAGTAAATATATTAATGTTTTTAGGTCAAAATAATATTACCATTGAATCCGAGAGGTTTGAAAAACTTTGAATAGATGTTTAGCTCATATAATGGTCAGAGGGGTAAAATAGTAATTTTAGTACTTAGGGTGTAAATTAACTTTATTTTTGAAATAAATCATAAGACTAAATGTTTTTTAGGTTAAAATAACATTAAAAATGAATCCGGAACGTAGAAAAACCTTGCGGTAGTCATATGGATCAAGTTGGAATGTTTAGTGGCAAAATTATAATTTCAGAGAAAAATATATTTTTTTGCCCATGAACTGTAAAAATTTGGGACTGCTGGGTTTAAAACCCATATTTTAGTCTCTTTTCTACCATTCTTTCATTCCACTCTCACCCAAAACCTCTTAAAACCCTAGGAGAAGATAAAGGAAAAGAAAAGAGGGAAAGAGAAGGTCTCTAAAGCTTGGATTTTGATTGAAAATCCTAGAAACGTGGCTTGGAATTCCTGATTTCTAAGTGAAACTTTCCTCTGTCTTGGATTTATATTATGCATCTCATGTATTTTCTTTAGCTAAAACTTACTATGTGTTTGATGACAAACTATTTGTTATAAACCTTGATTGAGTGCTAAGTATATCATGAATTGTGAACTCGCGTGCATAAAAATGATTTTAGTGTTATGAGTTTGAAACCCTATTTTGATTTTAGTTATGAGTATTTGATTAAATCTATGATTTGGGGGTTTTGAAGTATGTCATGATTTTGTACATAATATGACTTATTCTCTTAAAAATGGAAATGATTTTAATGTTGTGGGTTTGTAACTCTAGTTTGATTTTAGCTATGGGTATTTGATTAAACTTACGATTTGGGGGTTTTGAAGTATGTTATGATTTTGTACATAATATATATGACTTATTCTCTTGGAAATAGTTATGTTGCTTTGAAAATCCAACTTTTGAGATTTGAGCCTACTACATGTTTGATAAAATGTTAAGGTTATGACGTGTTTTCAAAAGCATTTATAAATATAGAAAATAATGATTTTTGAAAAATGTATACTCAATACTGACAGACAGAGGGTTAGTAGACAGTTGGGGTCTATTGAGTGGGTTTCCAAGGCGACTACTAGTCCTAAGGAGGATTGGTTATGGTAGTGATTTTCGGTGATGGCCTATGTGGCGTCACAAGTTGTGCCCTACATGTTCACCTTGAAAAGCAAGAAGGGCAATGAGACCCTAGGGTGCAAGACCCAAAAGGTTCCCTAGGGATGGTTCATGCATGAATTGGTGTGATTGATTACATTGTCCTTATGCGAGACATGCACGGTATTTGCTATTATGGTTTGGATTTAAATATAAAAACATTTAATTTATACTTTACATATTTCTAACGATGAGGTGTTGAGAGATTTTTATAAATGCTTTACTTATAATCTTATACCTGTATTTAATTATAGAAAGTTTTATTACTTATTCGTATGGTTTGTGAAATGTTGGTATTTAAAAGTTTGTAAATGCTTAGGAAATGAATTATCCTACTGAGCTGTGGTTGCTCATCTCTTACTAATATTTTCAGAGACTAGCATGCATCCTAGGGCATAGGTGATGAAATGCTTATGACAGTTTGGATTAGAAAGAATATCTTTTTGAGCCTTTTTGTATTTACCTTTAGAACTTATGTAGAAATGTTAGCACTGAAACATTGTGTTTGAAGAGGTTGTCTTCAGACATTTATGGTGTACATTTGATCATCCCATAGATGGATTATTATTTTGGATATTGTAATGTAAAGTTATGACTTTGTGTACTAAGTTGTGATATGTATTGGTATTGGATGTATTCGGGTTTGGAAGGACTTTGTGGGCCTCTAGTTGCTACTCTGGATTTAATTGGATTATATTTTTTATGGAGGCATGTTATGGAAGTTTAGTTAGTTTAAATTATGTTATGCTCTCATAGGGATGCTCTTATTAGATAGTTGGAAGTCCAATTTTCAAAGGAAACTCTGTCAAAACTTTTGAATATATATATATATGTTTTGATAAAAATGAAATGTTTTTTTTCATTCAATTATTATTCTAAACCAATAAGAGAATTTGGGGGTAAATATCTCTTTTTATTAAATCACGCTTTAATGAAAATTAGAGCGTGACAATTGTAACTCAATTGCACATAGTAACTATTTTTAGGGACACAAGTATTGCTTATAAATCACTGTAAGCTATAACTAAGTTTCATACCATAAATATATACATTTAACATACCATTCGACTTAATAGATACTCAACAGTTACAACCATTTAGCAACATATACTAAACACAACTACTCAATAGATATTCAATACAATTACCAATAACATACATAAGATTGGAATACCTAAAATCACAAAATAGTAATTCAATACAGTTTAACCCACTAAATTTTTGAATATTAACTGTTTCTAATTTGTGATCGCAAATAGTTACTTAAAACAATTACGTAACTATTTTTAATCAAAAAATTCTTCTTCCAAAGTGTTTTTTTCATTTGCATATAATTTAACTTTTGTAATTAGGTTACTCAATCGTTAATTACAAACCTGCAATTTTTTACTAGCATTTCACGAAAAATAGGGTTTTATGATTTTTTTTTCAAAATCACATTACAAACTTTTGTGCAAAAAAAAATTAATGAATAATAAAAAACGAGACATGAATGTCACTTGCAATTTTTCGGTGAAGAAGTGGCCGGAGATGAACAGTTACTAGACACTATAGGCAACGATGAACAGTTACTAGACACCGTAGGCGACGATGAACAGTTACTTGACCGTAAGAGACGATGAACACAACTATCATATTCTCTTTTTTTGGACGATAAACAGTCAAAGTTATGGCATTTTCATTGCCATAAAATCCCTTTTGCCAAAGAAGAAGGGAGTAGATAATTAAAGCTCTTATTTTTTAGCTCCCATTACTTGATTGTAGCAAAAATTTTCGGTAGAAATTCAAATGGTTTCTACCCATCTGCACTTTACCAAATGACACTAGTGTCATTTTTTAAATATATGTTCTTTACCCTAAATAAGTTTTTGTGCTGTATTTTTGTCTAAATAAGTTTAAAAAATTGTACCGACTTCCAAATCACCTTTTCAATAACACAATAGGCCTTAGATTGCAAAGTGCAAGCCAGGCCCAACATAGGACAGATAATGGCTTTGATTACTGAGCTTCAAGCTTTTTTGGCAATTTGTAATTAACCTTAAAATTGGAAACAAGAAATAGCTGTGTACCAAGGTTTGTAAAGGGAAATATCCAATCTGATGTACAAAATTTGAGTAATAGCAAGTCTCTTTCTTTTGGATAAACCAATATAATAGATTACTTAGAGTGGCACACCTTTATACTAATTTTCTGAACACTGGGTAATTCTTTTTTTTTTGGATACAACACCGTCAAAACCGCCCAAAAAAATGGTAGTATTCAGATTCTAATATCCAACAAACACAAATGAATCATAGAACTTTAGGATTTGGATCCTCTCCAGTTAAAATTTTGTCTTTTGGATCCATTCAATCCATCATCATAATCAAGCATACACGAAAAACGAAATATTGCAGTAAATCAAGTAACTTTTCATGGACAGCACAACTGAAAATACCACCATTCACCAAAAAAATCCCATACCCAGAAGCTAAAACATTGAAATAACACCAAAAATCCAATGACAAACCTGCACTGTGAATGGGTCATGTAACCAATAAACTACTACATGAATAAATGATTAAATTACTTAAAACTATGAGATATTGTACAACTATTGTAGCAGTAGTTGCGATTGGAATATGTTTAAGAACATAATTAAATTTGTATTGTTCGAAATGAAGTAAAACAACCTTTGAAATGCTTGTATGATACATTTGAACCTTTGAATGCTTGTAAATAGTTTTGCTTCTAAAAGCTATTTTGGATTGAAGAAAAGTGACAAATTAACATTGTAACCTTGTATTTTAGTATTTCAAACAAATGAAATATGTACGTAACAGTGTTGCGACATTGTGGAGTTTCAAACTAAGTTTTCCATCGAAATAGTGAAGTGCTAGAGTATCTCAAAAAAATGGCATCACATTGAGGTTTGTGCCTTATATCAATTAATCTTGGAAAACAGTATGTGTTGATTCTAATATCACTGCAGAATATTAGAATCCATAATCTTATTATTACAATTATTCCAAAATCAGGCAGAATTTCCCGAACTTCACATGGAAATAGTAGGTATGTCCGCTTAACCCACGAACAAAGGTTGTCGTGCATTGAAAGAATGGGAGAAAGAAAAAGGATATCTGATAGTGCCGTAGAAGCAGTGCATGAACATGATTTTGGTACTCCTACTAGAAGGAAAAGACAAAGAGTCGATTGATTAGTCAGAGCCCAGTTAGACTACTTTGAAAGTGAAGGTTAGAAAACATTTAAAAAAATTGGAATAAACGTTTTCAATCATTATAGCTATACTAAACAGTAGTCAAGTATGTTTCACAACGACACGAAACAAAAACCCATCATCAACCCTACCACCTTCAAGCCTTCTCCGGCGTGACATCAGGTCGCTCCGGATAACCTCCATCGTACAACGACACGAAAAAACCCATATGCTTTCAGCAAGTTTGGATTTTTAAAGCCCCTCTATCACCCTTTTCTTCTCAGGTCCCCCCCTTTGTTTATTTCCCTCACTAAG